AAAAAAAAAAAAAATTGCCTCGGACGTCGTTTGTGAAAATATAGTCGCACAAAAAAATATTAGTCATTTCACTAGAAAGAAATCAAATTTAAAAGATCATGAAATTTTCTTAACTGTTACGAGAAGAAAAACACAATAGTTAGGTACAAATAAAGATTTTTCTATTAGATATTTATTATTATTTGGACCACTTGAAAAATTAAAATTAACTGAAAATTAATGCTTTGCCTAGATATTTTTATTTGCTCCCCACAGTAAGGCCAAAACACGTCCATTTCGAAAGGATTGAAAATATCAAAATTACTTACTTTACGTGTTATATCCGCCTAGCACGGGAGATGTTACGGTCCCGTTACGGAACTATTCCGTCAAAATTTATACCCGTTAAATCAACTATCCTCGACGATTACATATTAACGATTATAAATTCTGACGGAATTGTTCCATTTAAAGGTTATAAATTCTGACAGAATAATTCCGTAACAAGACCGCAGCATTTTCCTATATTTAAATGATATATCTATTACAGGAATTTTGAAAATATTGTTTAACTTCATTTTCTTCATATAACAATTTTCACGATGAACAACGTGCCATCAAAGGCCCCAAAAAGAAAAATGCGAAACTATATTCCGAAACCTATTTTATGCAACAGAGTTCGCAAAAATGGGCTTTTGTAAAGGAATAGAACTTGGACCTGGACAACATATGCAGTAACATAGAGGCCAATTCTAAAATAAGCAGCCCAAAATAAGTGTTCTCATAAATGGGCTGAGCTCATAATCCCAAACAAGCGGCCCACTATGATTAAATAGTAGACAGAACAATTGAAGAGTGTTTGCACTCTTCAATAACTCTTTTCCCTTTTTGTGATCCATCCGATTGAAGGCAAAGTAAGTTGAGATTGGTAGAATTTGCATACACAATAAAAAAAGTGGATATAAAACAAAAATTGCAACTCAACCAAAAATATTCATAGTATAAAAAATATTAATGTCCATAGTAAATTGTAATATGCATATTGCATAACACACACTGTTCTATCTCAAGGAGAATAAAGAGGGTGGTAAACTCGGACAATTTGTCTGAAGTCTGAACAAACGGCTATTTTTTATCCCTCGTGGAAATATGGATTTTCGCGCTCAAGGCTAACTGAGCACAAACGGAATCAAGTTATCTATTAAACAGAACAAATGGCAACAACCAGAGAAAAAACACGATTATATATCTCTTTCTTGTTCAGCTGAATGAAAAACTTGGAAAAAATTATAACAAAAGGAACAGCAGCAAGTATTATGTCGAAGAATGAATATTTCACCAACTGTATCAGGTAATGGGAAATGAAATTATCTCAAAAGAGATCTCGTCAGATGCTCTCGTGCAGTGGCTAGAGCTTGGGATATAGTCTGCAAAAGGATAATGATTCGTTTTGAGACTACATAACATGGTCGCAAAGAAATAATAAATCATAGAAAATTTTCTATTTATGTAATATAATCAATTTAGGGAAAATCACAGAACCTACATTGTCATAAATTCCAATAATATTCAGTCACAAACATCCTGCCATTAAGGAAGAATTCGAAAAAATGGATAAAATCCTAGGTTCTAAAGGATATCTGGGTCTTCTTGTAATTAGCCCTAAGCTTAAAGGATATCTTCTCCTATTATGCTGTCACTTTATAGCATTAAAAAGGTCAGGGAACTCAATTAACCCTCCGACTTTACTGATGAGCCCAGGCACCTAAACTCATTTATATTTTATGAATATTTCAATGATAAAGTCTTGCGTGCATTAAGTTCATAAAAAATCTGAAGATCTATTAAAACCAAAAAGCATGTAACAAATTGAAATGAACGTGACAAGGACATTACCTGCTCAGACAAAGGAGCACCATCGTCCATGGTATGTGAAGCCACTTTTCCAGCAATAATGCTACCATCAGTTTCAAGAACAATCCTGAAAATAAATAACTATGTTGGAATACATTTCAAGTACAACTGTGGGTAAGTCATGATAAAGGCAAACTGGGCAAAACAATTCATTTCAAATCAGAACAAGCTTGATCATACAAGTCGCTTAACCATGGTCGGCGTAAACACAACCATAAAATAGCATGACTAGATCATGACAGAAGATTACATCAATTTTTCGTTCGTCGGTGTACACAGAGTAACGGGAGCAATAAATGAGATAATTTTTAGCTAATAAATAGATAAACAAGTATCTTAACTTTTACATGAGTTTATAACCTACCCTCCATCAACAATCTCATCAAGGCACAAAAGAATAAGATCCAAGTTTTCCAGTGCCTCCCTCAGGTCAACATTATTCCTGACACAAGCACACCAAATCATAAGCTGGCAAAATAAGTAATTTCAAATAATTGTAAAGTAGTAACATTTTAGCTCATTCAAAACCTAAGGAGAAGGGTTACTGCTTCAACAAAACCCTGTAGCACAGTAGCTAGGATCAGTTCATTTTCATCATCACCTCCGGTCACAAAGAAGTGCAGATCTTGAACAAACTTATACACGATTATGTTGTTCTCCAACATTGTTATCTCCGCTACAAATGGACACATTAAAGAAATATAAGCACCACCAACAGAAATGTACATCAATTTAGCCTTGCATGAAAATACAAGTAAAGTAATAATGTCCCCTACATCTGAATCTCATTAATTTAGGTCTTATGAGTCTTGATCTAGCTGATAATATGAACTGATTATAACAATTATCTCAATCATATTCCCAAGAAGTTACAATGTAAACTTCGTAAACAGTGCATGGAGCAAAATGTACCTTCCGCACGAGCATTATTCTTATGAGTTTTTGTGAAAACGGATTTCTCAAAAGCTAACTTAGAACTGTTGGTGGGCCATTCATCCGAATAGTACTTGACGGCAACACGTTTGCCTTCGGAATCCAACAAAAGGATGTTCTTTACAGACGGGCAAGCCTCCTGAATTCCACAATCCCATCAGAACCCTCTAAACTACTTATCTCATTTATTAGCAAACCACCATGGATACCCGATTCAAAAGCCCGATCCACAATCAAATTATACACACCGATATGAATTACAATACTACAAATGAATAATTCTTACGAACAAGGATACACAATTGATGCATCAATTTAACATAACCCACACACACACACACACAAACAAACGGTTTTTTGGATGTGAGTCATGGGCCATGATCAAAGAGCTAAGTTCATCAAAAATTGCATAAATACTAAGCGAAATTAAAGCTTCTAGTATACTCATAAACAGCAGAAAAATCAATGGAGTCCCGATCAGATCTATCAACAGTCGGAAAACAAAATGCAGAAACTAGATCACGAAATTCAACCGATCGCGCAGTACAATTCTTATACAATAAAAAGTTGCAGAAAGACATAGAAAAAACGTACACGACTGTGATAGGCGGCCATTGCCAGTGAATGATGTGAAGCAGTGAAGAAGAATTGGTGGCTTCCGATCGAAATCGCACTGTAAGCTGAATATGTTATTTTCGTTTGGTGGGCTCATCATTTATATAGTATATAGAATGGGCCGGAGAAAGTTTAATGGGCCTCTTAGTAGAAGAGTAACATCTCACTGGTTATTGCTTAGTCAATAGTCATGTGTTCTGTTAATATTAGTTGGCATAATAATATAAGCATGACACAAATTATGAGGTATCACAAATTGAGGCAAAAATTCAAAATAATCTTGATTTAAATATAAATAGGGATTATATATATATATATATATATGCTTTCACGGTTACAAATCCAGATAATATACATATATTTGAATGAATTATTAGCTTCAAATGAATTGTTGTTAATTACATATATTTCAATGATTTACTTATAAATTAAATATGTTTACGAAAAAAAAAAAATTAAATTGCAAACCCAAGTAAATTTGCATAACTTGAACTTCAAGGAGCATAGCTGACTACATCCTTTTAATACTATTTTACTGAAGTATTTAAAATTGAATTTAAATAATATTTTTAAGTATACTTCAAAAATATATTTAATACTATTTTTTTTTAATTTTAATACTACTTTAAGTATTTAAAATTATTTAAAATGTTACTTAAATAAACATATATCTTTTTTTTTATATTGCAAAACACATTTCCAACTATAGTCAAGGGCCATCTTAATCGTGATTTCAAAAATGATAAGTAGTGCTTGCTTGCTAACATAAAGTTTCTCGAAAAACAATTACATTATTTATTACGTTTTATGCAATCGAAAACATATGCAACCTAATCTACTAGGTTGTGAGCTGATATTTAATGCTCCAAAATCATTGTTACGAATCAAGTTTGTCAATTATCCAACCAAATAAACTTGAATTGAACCGATTTTTTCTTTTTTCCTTTAACTTCCACTTACAAAACAACTCTTTGACTTAAGCTTGCCTATGAACATATGTTCTAGAGAAAATTACTCCTTGAACGACCTAAAGCTCTCTTTATTGCATATTTACAAAATTAATATTTTATTAGCAAAACTAGAAAACTTAACTTAAAAATTTGCACATCTACGAGATCTATTGATATTTTAGATTTAACTTATTTTCAAAAAGTATTGATAAGATAAGTTATACATTATGGGATAATGGCCGATATTATTGGGATTAATATCTTCTTCGCCATCTCTCTTTCCACATTCAGTATTCTTCTTCACGCCATTGTTCTCCAAGTCCTCTCTTTTTTTTTTTTTTTTTTTT